CATATTTAACCACTATAAACCACTAATATGCCATTATTAGAACAAGCAGGGAATTTTCCAAGCAAGATACCTTAAATCCTTAAGAAAGATGATGACTTAGAGCTTCCCCTTCCAAAACACTCCATCAACATCTTTAAACCTCCTTGTATGGAGTAGTTTCCAAAACCATCAGTGAAATCTCAAGATTTGGACAAGAAAATAAAACTAGAAAATGAAGAACTTTTCTCTCTTCTTTCTCTCCCAAACAGCCAGCCAAACAAGGAGCAAAAAGTGAAGATATTTCAGCCAAAAATAAGATAAGAAGGAAGAAAAAGCAGCCAGTCAAAGTTGACTGCCGGAGGTGACGTCACAATCCGGCTTGAATCTGGCTGGATTTTCGGCCGGATTCAAGGCAGTGGCTGACCAAATGTTTTTTCAAAACCCTCAAGCAATCCGGCCAAGAACTGGCCGGATTTGAGGTCGGATTCGGTCCAGAACCTTTCCACCAAAAGTTTTGCTTTCCAAGTTCAAACGTTGCGCTCCTCCACTCTTCCAACAAAGATATATATAGATATATATAATCTCACGCAATTACACTTGATATACACAATCACACGTTCATCTATATAGAATGAAAACCCTTCTTCTTTCGGGGCGTCACAAACTCCCCCACTTAAAAGAATGTCGTTCTCGACATTCCCACTTACACTAATCAAATCAAGATATCCCGCAAAAGTCAAACAAGCATTTTCAAGCAAGCACTAAGAGTCAAACAACACCTACTTGTCTGACTTTTGATCCCTACAAGAAATCACTTACATTTCAAACCAGACCCACAGTCCGGCATCCTAGACTTTAAGCCTAGGATACACTACGGAGATCTGAAGCCTAAGTTCTGATACCAACTGTGACAGCCCCACCTCCCTCTAAGGCGAACCAAAGGGTTCGACGGACAGCCTGCCAAACTCTCGCCGGGATTCGGTCGTTCACTACAGTTCTCAATTAAATTACAATATAAATCTTAAATATACATCAAAAATTCCACAAATTTACATACACTACAAACTAAAACCTCAAGAGATACAAGCAATACTAATTTTTCGAATAAGACAAAGGTACTCAATTCTCACATAAGTACAAGTATAAGTACAATCGCAGTCTCAAATATTATACAATATAAAACTAAAACTCAAACTGTACAGGAGGTCATCCAACCATTCATACGGAGAACTTTAATACAAATGCTTCCTTCACCTCGAGCCCTGTGGAGGGGAATAAAATAGTTTTGGGGTGAGTTAGAAGCTCAGCGAGTAACCAATAAAATCAGTAATCCAATCAGTTTCACAATAGTTCATTTCAACGATGTCATGAATCAGTAATCAAATGTACTTTTATTGCTCTCATGAGCCAGTGAAATCATGGTACTTAGACGTCCAACGCTGAAATCGATCAATTAACAGTGAAACAGTGATAGGGAGCCATTGGTGCTCCAGATGAACAGTAAACAGTGGTGGAGACGTTGGTTCTAAGCACAAGACTTCCCAAGAACTTATTGAAGCCAAATCATGTCATGAACTCACATGCAAGCACACATGATATGCAATCGAATAATTGAGTAAACAATGTAAGAAAACGTTCAAAAGTAACTTTGGAACAGTTTTGGGATCACTCACCAACCACGGCTCATAATGCTCTTCCATTATAAACAATTTCATTGATCGAACTCAAGCCCTTCAACTCAAATTCAAAGCAACCAAATACTCTCAAAGATCGGACAGCATTTCCCCTTAAATTCTTTATTTCCATCCTACAATAACAACATGAAATTACATCTTACCAACCATAATTGCACATACGGTTCGTAAACAATAAAACACATCCAATTAGGGCCACAATACCCTTAAATTAAAGCCAATTAGAAGCTTAAGAGTCAACCATAAGAAAACCCCCAAATTAAACCCTAAAATCGGAATTTCTGCACAAACCAGAAATTTTCAGCAAACAATCGTATCCATCGTATACAAGCTCCATTTTACATCACAACGAGCTATCATTCCATGACCAATATACCATAATCATATAAAATCAGAAAATTTTCCAATAAATTAGAAATTGGTCCAACTCTACTTAAAATCATGAAATCACCCACAAAACAACATATTTAACCACTAATATGCCATTATTAGAACAAGGAGGGAATTTTCCAAGCAAGATACCTTAAATCTTCAAGAAAGATGATGACTTAGAGCTTCCCCATCCAAAACACTCCACCAACCTTTGAACCTCCTTAGTACACACTTGTATGGAGTAGTTTCCAAAACCATCGGTGAAATCTCAAGATTTGGACAAGAAAATAAAACTAGAAAATAAAGAACTTTTCTCTCTTCTTTCTTTCCCAAACAGCCGGCTAAGCAAGGAGCAAAAAGTTAAGATATTTCAGCCAAAAACAAGATGAGAAGGAAGAAAAAGCAGTCAGTCAAAGTTGACTGCAGGAGATGACGTCACAATCCGGCCGGATTCAAGGCAGTGGCACTGCCCAAATGTTTTTCAAAACCCTCAAGCAATCCGGCCAAGAACTGGTCAGATTTGCAGCCGGATTTGGTCCAAAACCTTTCCACCAAAAGTTTTGCTTTCTAAGTTCAAACGTTGCGCTCCTCCACTCTTCCAACAAAGATATATATAGATAAATATAATCTCACACAATTACACTTGATATACACAATCACACGTTCATCTATATAGAATGAAAACCCTTCTTCTTTCGGGGCGTCACAGGTTTAGAATTTGGAATTAGACTCTTTGTTAGGTTAGTTTGTTAGTATAGTGGATTTTGTTGAAATATGGAAGAAAGCAATTGGCAAAATAATTTTTGTACAAAAAGTGTAGTTTAGGATTTTTGAGAAAAAATATAGCCTTTTGAGCCTATATTGTTATATACAGTAAAAGTAAGGGAAGTAGGTGTAATTTAATAAACTTGAGGGGAGATCTCTGCAATTATCAAAAACGTCAGGGGAGGTTTCTGGAATTATCCCTTGAAAGAATTGGTCAATCTGAACGCTAATTAATGAAGTGGTGTTGAACTTGCAACCGTACTTGGTCTTGGTTGGACTATGATTTCGTAGCAGTTTATGTTCTCGTTTTTTATTATGGGCTACGGTATGGACTCGGAGTTGAATTATCATCACATTGCTCACTTTCTTTTTTTTTTTTTTTTTTCTGCTACCATTTAAGGACGCAAAATTCAATTGTCTCAATGATTATAATGGTTGAAGGTCGAGAGTGGTGATTGTTACCGAAACATGTGATCAGATAACTATACACATAGTTCTGCATGTTTGAATGCAATTATTGTGTTCTTCTACCATCTAATCTCCTATTTTCTGCGTTAGTTTATCATGTTAAACTTAGAAAATAGGGATGTGATGGGCTCTGTTTGTCAGTCTTAGCTACTAATTTTTTCTCAAATTATCGTTACTCTATTTCTTTGCTTTTTTTTCCTCAAATTATCGTTATTATATTTCTTTGCTTTTTGATATACAAATTGAACTGGATCAAATGAATATTCTGACATTATATTTAAATTTTTTTCAGTACAAGTGAGATTTGAACTCTCGATCTATAGCGCAAAAGAGACTTGGTGGGTTCAGTGGTTATTATATTTCTATGCAACTTTCAAAATTCTCACATCTGTCATGTTACTAGAATCCTTTTATATTACGTTAGATATGAATATATGAGACGTTGTCGGAAATCGGGAAATTAATGCAGGAATTCAATTATCTCATGTCTTTCTGCTGAACCACTGAAGAACAGTGGACTTTATATATACCATTAGCAACGTTCAATGTTTTTGGGAAAATAAATAAATAAATAACAAAATAAATGTAGGATCCATATTTTTTTTCCTTTTTTTTGTCAACAATAACAACTATCTAACCTCCTACTTTAGAAGGAGGGGAAAGTCTAAGTAGGCTTGTATACTTCTTGTGTGACGCATGAGATAGGGTTTAAACATCCGACCGATCTAGTGTACGGGAGAGTTTTAGAGGGCTCAATCTAACTATCAGACCAATGCCTAATGATTATGTAGATCCATAGCTACTAACTGAAAAGTAGATACATTTATACTTTTCTGACCATCCAATAAAGAACAAGAAAGGAAAGAAAGGGTCAAGCCATATTTCTATGTCAATATGAGTAAAATGGGGTCACTTGATTATGCCCAGAATGGAAAATGTCCTATTTAAGAACATGGCATATGGGTAACGGGTATGCCCAGAATGACTGATAAATAATAGGGAAAACTTTTCAGTTTCATTAAATTAAACGAATTTTTTCATCCATTACTTTTAAAATGATAATTTTACATTTCTTACAATATCGAGTCAATAAAATTTAATTTCAATCTAGTTTTTTTTATCACTTTTACCCTGAATTCATTAGATAACCTACACATGGTCATTGTTTTAGGAAAAAAAAGTTTGGTTTTCATTTATAGTTACACAAGTGACCAGATCCATATTTATTTTTACCCATAAAAAAGTTTTGTTTGATCCAAATTATATTCATTTTTTCCCAAAAAAGTGAGATTTGACTCAATCTATATTCATTTTTTGCCATTAAAAAGGTGAGAGATGACATTTTTGTGGATAAAAAAATTACTGCATGTGGGTCAAGTAATGATTTTAGACTAAAAAATGATTGAAAACTTAGATTGAGATCAAAATTTGCTAATTTGAATTTATCAAACATGTAAAGTTATCATTTTAAAAGTGAAGAATGAAAAAATTTCATTTGATGAATAAAAGGATAGTTTGAACAATTTTTCCTAAATAATATTCCCATATAGCATTTCAAGTGAGAAGTTTTTTTTCAAGTAATCTGGTTCCACCTTGCAGTACTCGAGCCAAGTTAACATCCTTACCAGCTCAAGTAGTCAATACTGCACGCAATTTGTCACTCAAATAAACATTAATCATTATGGAGTACGATCCTCGTATTAATTAAGTCCCGTAGGAAAATCATAGAGATTTGTTTCTTTCCCTTTTCTTTATTTCAATAATAATAGTGGAGTAGAAAGAAGAACCCATGTTTCAAGGTAAACACCAAGAGGATAAAAATCAACTGGCATTTGATCTAAAGAATGTAGCAAGAGTGGCGCCATGACTGAGCTGCTCCTGAAACAAGTTGATAGAATCAGTTGTCAAGATTAACTAAATTAATGAAGGAAAATGTTAATCGCATTCACTTTTTGTTAATCATACTCTCACTATTATTTTTATCATATAGTTTTTATGTATTAGACTATCTGATAAAACAAATGATGAGAGTATGATTAACAAAAAGTGAAGTGCTATTAATATTTTCCTATTTCAAAAATTTTGTTTCCCATTAATAAAACATGCAGTAAATTTCTGGGCCAAACCTCCCCTTGTATGAGAGGATGTCTCTCACAACAAAAAGAAAACCTGACAATATCATGAGAATGCGCTCAAAAGAGTAAGAATTATGGGAATATGGGTTTTCAATGCTCTTTTATTATCATGGTCAAAATCAAACACTCTTTCTAAGACTAAAAACATTATTAACCATTGGCCTTTAAAACATTATCATTTTGTCATCATGCTTCATAAACTTTCACAAAATAGCTTTTTCCTTTTTTGTTTGATTTTCTTTTATTAGACCACTAAAATATTTTGGAAAAAAAAAACATAGACAATGATTCAATGAATAACCACCAAAAAAAAAAAAGCAAGCCTTTTTGTTTGTCACTACATATGCCATTTGGGCTGGAGTTGATCATAGTAAACGTTGTCAAATTTGACCAGTGTTTAATCATTTTTAGGCTCAAATGATTTTGGGTGGACATGGAGTAGGCTTCAAAATGGTTGAGCTTACAAGAAATACTGGGCGTGCACTGTAATTGCTTAATTGGACCTTAAAAGACAATAATCTTCATCAAAACTTGCCCAAAATCTTAACCCATGATCATTAGGCCATCATCAAACACATATGTACTCAAGTCAGGCCCAAAAACCGAACGTACCCAAAACGATTTGGGTTTTATTGTGCAAAGCAATTAGGCGAAAGTGGTGAACTAGAACTCCAAGGAAACCTTCAAATTATTGTAGAAAAGCTGACAAAAGTGTCACATTTTCTAGGAGTGAATGTGTTAAACTTACCAATTGGTTAAAGTAGTGAAGAACAGGACTTCCTAGAAAACAAAAAAGTAGTACGAGGAACTCAATGATTTTTTATTTTTTTTTTTGGTGTCCGGGTAAAAGTTCTACTCTGTTACATTTTTTTTGTCATTTGGTTAAGGTAGAAGATCACAACAGTAGAAAGATTAGTTGGAACCTAGTCAAAAAGTTGTAGTAAAAGGGAAAGAGAGGTTAAGCGAAGTGGATTATGAATAGAACTAATTATTGGTTCATAAAATATACAGTGCGAAAAGAAAAATGTAAAAAATCAATGGCTGAAAAACTAGATATCCACTTAAATCTCAGGTGTACATTTTATTTATTCATTCATGTCTACATATTTAAGAATGATTGTGCACTTCCTATTTGTTAATGAACACACAAAGATTTCAATGTGTGCAATTATTTGTTGAAATTATTGCCTGCATCTATTGGTCAAGCTTGACTTTGTACTTGTCCGATTCACAAAAGAAGGGATTCCATGGCCAGTGTAGGCTACTGTGATGGAAGGTATTTGCATTTCTTGTCTTCTTTGCCAAGTGGTTCAATGATGACCTCTTTAGATAACAATGAAATCTAAACATGCATGGCTTGAAGATAAAGCTTAACTGTTCAATGCTGACCTCCTTGTGACGAACTACTTTCATCGTTTTGTCGATGAATGTTTCGATGTATTGATCGGAAGGGCCAAATTGAAGCCAACTGCTGCCTCAACCTCAGGCATCGCTGGCTCCTGCTGGTTCCTCTTCCATTAGGAGAGTCATGAGCCTCAGACTCTTGATCATTTTCTGCAAGTCTGCTCTGATCACTCGGCACAGGCAGCCCATGCCGGCAAACTGGACAAGAATTATGAAGCCTTAACCAAGGTACAATGCAATCAGAATGGTAAATATGGTTGCAGGGCAGCTCTCTGGCTTCATCACCAATATCGAACTTCTCCTTGCAAACAGGGCATTCTGACTCATTGATCAAATGGGATGATGTTAGTTTTACCGTTGGAATCGAATCAATCACTGAGTCAGGCAGTGGTGGAGGGCCAGGGCGATCGTTTTGAGTCAGTTGTTCAATCAGTTGTTCAAGTCCTGGACCGAGGAAATAGTTTCTTGCATCAATTCCTGTGGGGAATAATCCAGCTTCTTCTCCATGATCCTGTCGAGTTGGGGAAGGCCCTACTGGCCTGATAATAAACAAGGTTCGAGGTCGGGCTAGGATGCCACTCTCACGTCCCCAATCATCATTCTCATTATCACGCAATACCCCACCACGCCTTCTCTGCCAAAACCAGCCTCGACTGCCACGATCTCTCTGTCTTGGAATATTGACAAGTTCTCCATCAGGGAATCTGTTCTCTCTCTCCCGGAATCTAACATTTCGGGTTCTAAGTAGAGGATGGAACATTATTGAGAGTACTTCGACCCATCGAGCTTCTGGGGAGGGATCAAATGCAGTGAAATCATGAACAGGCCTGGCCATGTCTATTTCAACAAGAACTTGGCCGAAACATTGAGGACAGACGATGTCAGATGGATTATCGGAGGCAACCCTGACTCCTTGATGACACTGGTAACACCAATATAATTGATCGTTTCTCCTACCATTGTCTGTTCCACCTGGAGGACTCAATGACATATTTTTCTTGAAGGCTCGAAATTTGAAATGGTAGATTTGTCCCTAAATTTGTCTCTTAATCTGTTGTTTATTGGATGAAAAATATATGCACGAAACTTGTTTGCTTGTATGGATAGAAGCAAACTTGCACGTATTTGGCGTATTGGCATGTGACGAAAAGAATGCCTTTTGGGAGACATCGCAAGTAATTCTTGCTTTGTTATATAGACCGTCTGCATAGAAAATGAAGGTTGCCCTGCCGCGTCTTCATTGCTTTTTAACAAAGCAAAGTATATATGAAGACTGTGATGCACAAAGGCTTCTTTAAAGGATTAAGCTTTGGGACTTTTGAACAAGGATGGAAATTGCGAGTCAAAAGGTGCATAGATTCGAACCTTTAACCATGTTGGCGAGAAAAGAGTTCAATTTAAGTATTGTTTCTGGTATAGCTAAAGACAAAAGTTAAAAAGTGTTCCAGATTTGGTTAGCCAATAATGTAATTTTCCTTTGTACGTTCTTTTCCTTAAGCAGTCATTTTGAATTACAGATACGTGACTATGTATGTATGTATGTATGTATATGGTATAGTTAACACAAGAAAAAGGAAAATTTTAATAATGTAGAAAAAAAGATAACACTTAACAAAAATATCCATATCTCGGTGGTCTGACCATCAAAATAATTGATTTTCCTTATTTAATTACTCAATTGTTGATGCTCTGGTGCGAAATATAGTAGTGGGGTAGGAACGTTAAAGATAAGGGTTAATTATATTTGCCGCTCTTGAGATTTGACTAAATTACTAAACAAATCTTGTGATTTGATCAAATTATAGTCACCCATATATGAGTAACTAGTAAAGTGCACGTGCGTTACATGTGTTTGATCGTACTAAATATTGTCTTACTTTTACCCATAATATTGTCGGAAAAAGATTAACCAAAAGAAAGTAATCAAAACTGATATTATGAATTACCATTTTTCTTTATTGACAAACAGTTCATTCAATTCTTTTTTCTTCTTAACACCTATTTTAGAATGATATTTAATCTTTTCATTTCTTTTAATAATATTTGTCTTTATTTGTTACCTTTAATTTGTATGATACTTTGCTTTCCAGTCATCTGTGCTAAAAGACAACATGATTGCCATCAACAATGATGGAACCAAGGGGCAGAGGGGGGCCATGGCCCCTCCTAAGTTTTGAAAATTTTAATTCATAATATGTAAATATGTGTGTAAAATAAAATTGGTCCCCCTAAATTTTTACAATTTTAGTTTATATTATGAGAGTTGATATATATATATATATATATATATATATATATATATATATATGAATTAGTCATCGAGTGGATTGCAAGAGTTATATAGCAGGTTTAATGATCATACCATGGAATTACTTGTTTTGAGTACTGCTTTAGATCCTAGAAATGGATTTATGCTGTTCAAGATTGATTAATCAACAATGCATATGCTTCGAAGGATAAAATTTGTTTAGTGGCTCTCGTAAGAGATAGATAATATGAAACAAATTGATGCATCATAAACAATTTCAATATTTCTTTAAACAATAAGAAGTTTGCATGAAGGCATCTACAAAAGTGAAAAGAACTCAAATTAGGAAAACAATTTTGATTCAAGAAAATCTGTAAACTGCCAAATGATCAAACGAGATGGCAAGTATCAAGATTGATCATAAGAACAGAGGAACAATATTTTGTGACTTCAAAACATCCATAAAGACCAATTAATTCCCAAAAAAAAATTTCATAATCTTCCTAAGCAACATTTAATTCACTTGAAAAAATAATAATTCTATCAAACTTGTTTCTAAATTCTCATAATACGAATTCCAAAGATTCTTCATTGCATGTCACAAAATCACAAGTGGACAAATATAACAAAATATTTATACAAGGAATTTGAATAGAAGAACCGTGATAAACATTACCTTTAGATCTAGGAGAAGTATAATTACACAATGGAATTACATTTCTCAATTTAATAGTCTCTAGAAGCCTGAATTTTAAAGATAAGGATTAAAAGTATTATTATAAAAAAAATGAAAAGAAATGCTTCTAATCAGCCTAATAATTGATGAACAATATATTCAACAGGGTCTTACATGAAATTGCTTTAGCATGTGGAACTATAAGATCATTTTTTAATGTAAAAAAACCTTGCTTTTGTACAACTTTTTTATCACTTTGATACATTTTAGGTAACCATTCAATGATAGAAAGCATGCAAATATCAATGCATAGAACCTAAATACCTATATCTGGTAAATCACAATTTTTGTTTGGATAGGTTAAAAGGAAAAAAGATAGGTTAGGCTTGCTAGTTGAGATTTTTCTTTGTTTTTGTATTTTTATATAAAAATGCATAAACATATTTACGTTACCTACATTTTCTAGTAGTACAAAAAGTTAATTAATAGACAATTCATTGGTAAGAAATTATATAATCGCATCTGAAAATTCCAGAACAAAACATATTTTCAATCTTCATCATCAATTGAAATATTAAGTCCCAAAACTATATATGTTGGTGAAATTGGTTGTCTTATCTTGTCATGTCATGTGGTCAACATGTCCAATGGTATTGTCTCTAATATTTTTATCAATATCACCAATACTGTGAAAGCCGTTCAGTAGCAGATTTCATTCCTTGTTCAATAGTAAATTAGAGGCTTTCAAATCCCTGTAAATCTAATTTTTAGAGTGCAACACGGTTCATAACTACTGTAGACCCTCTTAGAACTTCTACAGTTCCTTGCCAATAAAAACCTATTATACTACAGTTAAGGTCATCATTATTTTTGGTTGATTTTACTAATTATTCTTGAGTACACTCAAGGTTCAAATTTTGATTTAACTTATGTTTTTTGAGAGTTGATTTTATATTGCCCTTGAGTTCTTTCTTTTGGAAAGGCATTCATATAAATTTTTCCTATCATACACTTTAGTTCTATGTTAAATATGAAAAAACTAGAGTTGGGATCGAAAAGATATTGAAAATGGTAAAAATTGCACAAGCAAAAATCTTTGATGGCAATAGTTTCAAGGTGAAAATGGTGAAAATGACACTAATGGTCTTTATTTTGACTATTTAGAATTCCTCCAAAGAAATGAAAATATTTGTTGGCCTTATAAATCATGAAAATTATGTTTTAAGAATCAATAGTTTCATTTTGGATATTTATAATTCATCTAAACAACTCAAAAATATCCAAACAACTTTTCAATTGTACAATCCACTCTCTTGAAAGAGTAGATAGAGCTAAAATTGTAATATCCATATTTGGAGTTCATTGATTTGTTTCATTTGGAATATATTGTGAGTTAAGAGATACTTTGACAGGAAATAAAATCCAAAACTTAGAATCTTGGTGGAGCTTTTGAATTACCTCAAGATTCTAAAGGGTTATTAGCTCACCCATGAGAAAAGATACTCAATAGAATACTATTTTAAAACTTGAGATAATTCAAACTTGGTTCTAAAACACTATATTAAATATTTTTATAAAGAATTTATTTAGAGTAAAACTTGATATGAAAACACACCAAAAAATCATGGTATAAAGATTAGATTGAGAATGGATTAACTTGACATCTAGAGTAGGACACTTAAACTGTCCAAGTGGCTTTGCAATATCCTTATGTACTTATACAAGTGACTTTTGGTCCCTTGGAAAAAACTTTGGTGTTAGTTGATTGTAGGGTCTTGGCTAATGAGGTAGGAAAAACTAGGAAAGTGAATCTTTTGCCTATATTTGTATTTGTTTAATCATTTTCACATCCTATATAAGGCATCCCTCATTATGGTTAATCAAATTTACAAATATATTTCTATAAATTTCATGCCAATTGGTATGTAGTCAAATTATAAATTTATAGATAAATGAATTAATGATACTTTAGGCTTTAGATTTTTGTCATGTCGCCAAAGTTTAGTTTCAAAAATACATAAATGTTACATTAATACTACTCTAAACATAAGAAAATTAGTCATTTGGCTAATATATTATTTTTAACCTCTTACTTGTCTCTTAATAATGCCTCTACTACTTGTTGATATTTTACTCATGAGGAGGCAAAAAGTAGTAAGAAAATGTGAATAAAAATAGCTGCCTTTGAAACTACCCATGGATAGCTTCCAACTACATTAACCAACATGTGCTGACCACCACCTTAATTGGTTGATAATGGTTAGGGTCTAGAGAACTCAAATCAGACAACAACTATTATTGCAAAACGACACTAATGTTCTTAAATAGTCGACATCGGTTTCCTCTACATTGCATCACTTGCTTCGTACTTTGATTTGGCTTCACTTTGTTTTAGATGTTTGGTACCTTTTGAGTATTTTGTTATATTTTTTTTTCCTCCTCAAAGGTTTCAAATGACTTCAAGTGTGACGACCCCACCTATCCCTAAGGCGTACCCAAGGGTTTGGCGAACCGTCTGCCCAACTCTCGTCAGGACTCGTTTACTCTTTTCAAATAAAATAAGGTATAACCTCAAGAATAAGTAAAATAACAGTTCCCAAACTTAGAACGTATACTTACATTCATTTCTATGTCAAACATTCATACAATCTCAAACATAACAAAAGTTGTGAATTCCAAATACATTCAACCCTAACAGAGCACTAGTGCAAGTACAATCGTAAAAATTCAAAAACTAGACTATGCTAGCATGTGCTAGTCTCTCGCCCTCACTCGTATCCCCTGTAAGGAAAACAAAAATTAAAGGAATGAGCTGAAAACCCAGTGAGGTTCCCAAACAAGTAATCAAGCAATTTAAACAAGGACATTATTCATTGAAGAACAATTAATCGGGAAAACATTCACAAGATAAAAGCAATGAGAACACACTCATTAAAAGGATACATGCTCACGTGGAGCCATTCGTTCATTCATTCGCCAACCATTCCTTATCCCTCCAATTATTAGAAAAATATTTGTTAGTGAAAACTCCTCCAGTGTTCTTGACATTCATTCATTGATTTCATTTCCCGTCACTAGCCAATTCACTTGCCAGTTCTCCACCAACCTTCGTGGTCTTACTCGAGTATGCCAAAACGTTGTCCCAGGGTCACCAACCGCCCGACCGAGTCCGCTTCTGACTCGAGTCGACTGACAACGAAGGGCAAGGGGTTAGTTCAGCCAAAAGACTGCATTCAATCATTGAAAATTCACTTTTTGGCTTGGGTCGAGTGCGATAAAGTATACACTCGTCCATCGAAAATCCATTTAGCAATTCTTGAAAAGCATTTAACATGCAATCAAACATTCACAAATAGTCACATATTCACTTATTGCACAAACACACAAGGAACACTCACCAATATGAGCAAGAAATATTTCAAAAGTTTCTTTCCGAATTGTACTCCGGATCACCAAAGAAACCTAGATCAGTGAAAATAAGGTATTATGGTTCAACTAATCAAAATCTAGATGAACCAACAAAAATCGAGAAATTACTAGAGCAAATATGAAAATATAACGAAAGAAAATTTCAGGAATCAGTAGTTGGAAGAACA